CCTCCATCACCTCATGTGTCCTAGGAGGACTGGAAATCCTATTTAATATTTACACATACTTTATATCAATATTACCTAAACGAATTGTATTGTCTGGATTTCAGCCTGTAAGAGTAGCCAAGTGGTGACGATACCTTAGTTTAAATATTCGGGTTTAAATGAATGTATAGAATCGGATAAAATTGCATGATTGTTTATTTGACAGCAGAATTTCTTGCTCTTTTAATGCTTTGGCTCTTCGTTCATGAACGCAATTTGCAGACATGCGCGAGGAGTCCGTTTCATCAAATGCTCATAACCACAATGGGCCTTGTCAAAACAAGTAGAACGACAAAATCTGTGACGTGGCACACGAAAGACACTAGGGCATAGGAACTATTCGACTTGGCATTAAAGATATAAATGTGAGATATATTCACCCAATTTCATTTAAGGTGATGAAGGACTGGTAGAAGAATTTTCCCACAGAGCTGACGTTTTCGTTGAATTTCACATTGCCTTACTTTCACAAAAGCTTTTCTCATCCCGGTTGATGTAGACTGCAGATTCGACCTCGCATCGGTCTTATCAACACCCCCAACGGGAGTCGAACCGTAAAAGTTGAGTCCTTCATCCCTTAAACGATTTTGGGTAAATACATCTCATACTACTGATTTACTGGTAGACCCGAAAAACAACACTTAATTCGAAAAATATGTGAAATTGAATGAAAATGTCAGCTCAACTTATATCATTGTGGGGGAAATTCTTCTTCTACCAGTCCTTCATCCCCTTAAACGAAATTGGGTGAATACATCTCATACTACTGATTTACTGGTAGCCACGAAATCAATTCTTAATTCGAACAATCAGGGAATTTTTCAGTAGAATCGCAATGAGAGTTTTAAGAAGTAGGTAGGATTTAAGCTGGCCACCTTTCTTGATTTATGTTTTGTGGTGATTGTTCGTGAATAATGCTTTCTGGCTCTGACGGTGTCCGTGACATGACGGACGAAAGGTCAGCACGGAGTCATCTGGCTCGTAGGACGGTGAGCCGAACTCCTATTGGCACAATTCGACAGACGAAAGTTAAAGGCAACCCTCATGCGGTATCCGGTGGGGCCAAGATACGAATCCCTTTCACCCGCTTTCTCAAACAAATTGAAAGTTGTGCCGGTGTCAATCTGCCAAAGGAATCTTCGAAACCCAGCAGAATCTGTTACATTCTTCCAATCGTCCTTGTTGAAGGAGCGTTTCGACTCTTTGCACGGCTTAGTTACTACCTCGAATGGCGGTGGACCAATCAGGTAGCTCGCTTGACCCCAGAACCACCACCACCCCACCCCCCCGCCAAAATATAGATGCTTTCAGTTGAGTGTCAGTGGGGGTGGGCAAAACGACTGTTACCGAGTCGAAAAGACCTTGTGACGGGCCAACCCACGAGTGGAACTGGTCACATGCCTTGAGGCATTTGTGTGTGAAAACACACAAATCTGGCCACAGTGTGCGCGACAAATGGTGTGTCTGAGGTGGGCGAGTGGGAAATTGGGCGTGGGAATAGACCGGGAGGTGTGTCCACTCGCAGGCGGGTCCGTGGCGGAGAGAGAGGCGGTGGCAGCGCAGGCGCTGGGTGTGGCAAATCGCCAGCCCACCTCAGCCCAAACACACCTCACAGGGGCGAGCTGTTGTGGTGGGACTTACCGAAACATTTGCTCTGATTGGTGGCCCGGTCCACGTAAACCTTGGCGCTAATCACGGTGCCAAAAGGCATAAACATTTGAGCCAACTCGTGATCCCCAAACTCCTGCGGCAGGTGGTAGATGAAGAGATTGCAGCCCTCGGGTCCTTCAGTGGGACGAAGACATGAGAAATACATGAACAAGATTAGGGCAAGTTTATGCGAGAAGTGAGAAGTGAAAAGTGAAAAGTGAGAGGAAAGGACAGTAGTACTAAGTAGGCAGGTAGGTAGATTGATAGATGGCTAGATTGACGAATATGCGATTTTGGAGGAAGGATGAGGGGAGATAAAAAGAGGTTACAAGAAAACGGTTGTGACATTAAATAAATAAATAAATAAATAAATGGGCAGACGTATCATTCAAAAGATGATACAAACGTCTGTATGGACAGACAGACAGGAAAGAGGAAGAGCGAGAGAGAGAGGTGGATAGATAGACAAATAGGAGGAGTAACGGAGACATGGTTTTACGGCGCTTGTTGAGCACAAAATGATAAATATTGACTAGCATAAACAAAGTGAAACTGCAAATTACAATGTTTATTGCCCACAACAGGTCATGTAAAAACATACTCTTTACCGAATACAATCAAGACGATCAGCAGAATGAAAAGAGACGCAATCATATGCAATCGACGCCCGTCCGTGGGGCAGGGGGCTGGGTGAGATGGGGCTACAAAAAGGGTTGCTGTGACGACTCACCAGCGCTTGATCTCTGCGCAAGTCGAAAGTGACGGTCGGCTTTGAGACAACCTTTGGCTTGACACAGTCGCCACAACATCCCTA